CATCGGCTTCATCCACTCGAACTCCCATCCGTGAAACTACTGGCACTGACTCAGCACCCATATCTAGCCGTTCCCCATGTAGTTGCCAAAATACGTACTCTCGCGGAAAAGGCTTAAAGATTAAATGTTCCCTAACAATATCTTTGGGATGCCACTTTTTGAAATTACATTTAGGACAGGGACACTGAATCTTACCATTTACGGCAGCATTGGCGAAAGCAAAATCCAAGAAATAGTTTAGACCAGCCAAGTATTGCGGAGTCGACCGGTGCAAGTTGATCCACGACCTATCCATCACTAATAATGCTCAAATTTCGTGAAAATATGACACAGAGCTCAAAGAGAAGTTAAAATGGAATTCAGTTGGAGTGCTTCAGCTTATAAAGGAGGCTGGTGGAACGGTCATTTTTTTGTAGCGGTTACAAACCGCTACAAATTTGTAGCGGTTTTAACGGAAATTTTCATTTTCCAGCGGTTATTAACCGCTAGAAATTCTAAATATCGGTTACAAACCGATAGAAATTTCTAGCGGTTTAACGGGAATTTTGTCTCCATCGGTTTTGAATTTTCTAGCGGTTATAAAACCGCTAGAAATTTAGGTCAAGAACCGCTAGAAAATTAGCAAAATTTTCTAGCGGTTTTATTGTCAACCGCTAGAAAATTATCCAATTTTCTAGCGGTTTACAAGAACCGCTAGAAAGTTTCACGATGCTTAAAATCCAGTTGAATTTTCTAACGGTTTTTGAACCGCTACAAACGATATTATTTTTAAATATTAAATAGAAATACCGCACAATAAATTAATAACATTACAAAAATAAATATTTAGTAAATTAATAAATGATTATAGAATTATTTTGATTAATTAACATGTTTAACGTGTTTAATAAATTGTAATGTTGATGTTGTAATAAATAAATAAATATTTCAATATTAATTAGTACTTGACATAAATAAAATTATAGAAATAAATCAATAAAGTAAACAAATAAATATAAAATTTAAATAAATATCTAAATAGTATATAAAACCGTAAAATCAAGATTCTAATAAAATCCCATACAATGAAAGCAAATCATGGGTGGGGGGCAGAAGCAGCATCATCGTGATCATCCTCTGCTGAATCCTCCGGCTGGGGGTGGGCAGGCCGCTCAACCTGCTGGGACTGGACTGGCGGATGGGGGGGTAGGGGCGGGACTGGTGGCATGTGTAGGTCGGGGATGTCAGGAACCGAGATGTTTGGAGCTATACTGACCACCACATGACGCAGAGCCGTAGCAGCTGCCAAGAGCTGGTCAAGCTGCGTCTGGAGCTGACGATCACGCTCCTGGAACTGACGATCACGCTCCACGATCCTGGCCTCGAACTCTTGTCTGAGCTCCTCTCGCAATTCCTCTGAGGATGAGGAACCCGGCCGCTTCGCACTCGCATGAGAGCTCCCAGCAGTATATGAAGGGCCAGCGCCACTTGAGCGGGGCAACCTAGTCGGTGTAGGTCCAAGTCCAAGCCCGCTAACTCGACCAGGGTGCTGCGGCCGGCCACGACCCGCTAAAAGTGAGGCGGTGGGATCCAAGGCAGACCCCTGAGACTCACGCAACTCGGAATCGACCTGAGTCATCCGTGCCTACCAAAATTAATATAAAGAAGTTAATTATAATATAATGATATCTACACTGTGATATTATATTAATATTTAATTTATTACTTACCGCTATCTCCTCAACCTCATCCGACGCACGCCCGTCTCGGGGTCTATACACCATCGGCCACATCTCGCCATAAGTGGGCGTGTATCCCCGCTCCTGCTGCGTCTTTTCCCTCTGTAAATGAAATCAAAGAAATAATTAGTTACAAATTAAATACATATACATATTTAATAAATTTATTTCAAGTACTCACAATCTCGTCATAAGTGATCGCAAAGCTCCTGGATCCAGCCCTATGACGTATCGTCTGATGCCTGACGCTCCCAGCATTTCTCCTAGAAAGAGCCTGAAGCAAAATGTAAAAAAATTAAATTAAATGAGTCAAGTCGGATAAAAAATAAAGAAATTATAATTAATACAATATTATCATACCATCTGGTCAGCCGTCATCCTAAAATAGACGTAACTGGACCAGTCTTGGTCCGGGACTCCACCAGGTACATCTGCCAGTATCTCCTGGAGGGGCCTCGTCCCGTCACCTTTCTTCTCCCTCCACAGGTCGGCCCTCCTGTTCTTCCATGCCATCCCGAGCCTCTTGATCGTGTCAGCCCTCAACTCCTCCCCCAGAATAAATTTACTCTATGATTAAAATAATAAATTAACTAAATAACAAATTTAAACAAATAATTAAGCAATTTCAATAATAAAAAACAAATAATTAGTTTTTAACTAATTTAAGAATATTATAAATAAAATATAAATTAATCAAAAACAAATAATAATTAAACAATTAAGTAATTTAAATGAAAAATATTTTTACTCAACTAAATTTAAAATTATTATAAGTAATAAATTAATGAAATCAATAACAAATTATTTTCATTTAACTACTTTTAAATAATTTAAATAAAAAATATATATATTCATTTAACTACTTTTAAAAATATTATAAATAACAAACAAATTAAATAAATAAAAAATTATAATCAAACAATTAAATTATTTGAAAACAAAATATATAATCATTTATTTAAATTAAAAAAAATTATAAATAACAATTTTATATTACCTTCATTATTTCCCAGCCTTGCTGCTTCTTGTCTGAGGTGATCTTCTTCCAGTCCTGCACGTAGATGGGGAACAGCGTTCCACTGCTGACCAAGGAGGCGCACGTACTTGTTGTACAACTGGCCACCTTTCTTCGTCGGTTGGCCCAACTCATTGAGCGGCACAACCACTCGTCCGCTCGTCATCATAGACAGCTCTCTGGCTGTCAGCCTCCGATAGGACCTGTTCCCCTCAGTGTCTGCAAAATTTAATTAAGAAATAAATTATATATCAATAAATTAATACAATTTCTATATAAATTAAATACTGATCAAAACTTTAAAAAGTTAAATAAATACTTACCGACAAATTCCACCTCATAACCAGCCTGACGTCTCAGAGCAGGACGCTGCGCAGCCTGGGGATACTCATTCCCCTGATCCTGCTCCTCCTCCTCCTCCTCGTCAGCAGCATCAGCATCAGCATGGGGTTGCTCATCCCCAGTAAAATGAGCTTCCTCAGTCCGCTCAACATCATCTTGCTCCATAAAACTGAGGATATCCTCCTCGCTAAGATCGTAGTCATGAATGCTGGGGAATGGCTCACCAGCATCATGATGAACCTCACTGGGTCCAGCTCTCTCAGGATCAATGGGTCTTTCCCGTGTCGACGAGTCATCCTAATAACAATAAATAGTAATTATTTATAAATGAAATAAAAAGAAAAATTATTTATAAGCTATAACATAATAAAATAAATAAAATAAAACATAAAATAAAAATATTTATCAATAAATTACTATTTTTACCTGAAAATAAGGATCTGCAACTGAATCAGAACTCGAATATGTTTGTGGAGAAAATTCAGCAGAGCTTCGCTTCTAGAACGATTGAAGAAGTGAGAGTGTGGGGGGGTATATATAGACCGAGAATTCCTAGCGGTTCGGTCCAAACTGCTAGAAATTTCTAGCGGTTTTGGGCCGAACCGCTAGGAATTCCCAACGGTCACATGTGCCTCGGGAATTGGCTAGCGGTTCGGTCCAAACCGCTAGCAATTTCTAGCGGTTCTGGACCGAACCGCTAGAAATTTGTAAACTCCTCGGGGAATAAAAAATATTTCTACCGGTTCATGCATCAACCGCTAGAATTTTTCGGTGTCTAGCGGTTTATTGGCCTGAACCGCTAGAAAGTAAACGCTACAAATTTGGCGCCAAGTTCCCGCCAAAGCCCGGGGAATTTTCTAGCTCTAATTTTCTAGCGGTTAGGTGGTAACCGCTAGAAATGTGCGGGCAATGGTCAAACCGTCTGTATTTTGCAGCGCTTTTTATAGAAACCGCTAGAAATATTTGGAATTTCTAGCGGTTTAGTTGAACCGCTAGAAATGTTCCGCTGCTACTTCAACATTTTCTTGTAGTGATATACCCATTAACAAGACATTTAATCATTTGTATTATAGGGGTTATAACAATAAAAACCTGTCATTTTCATTCATTTTAATTAGAAACAGAGCATCATTTTATAACTTTAACTACACATAACAAAACCACACCTAAGATTATTAAAACTACATATAATTAAAATGAGCATCCCTTGATAGTTCAAGTGAGTTGAATCATATCCTTAATACTCACACACTCTTAGCCAATCAACTTTTGAAACCAATATTAAACTTTCAATGGTTGTGGATGAAAGCAAACAGATGTTGTTAATGATGAAACCTAAGAAAAAACATAGCTTGCTTGAAATAACAGAGACAATAGAAATGGTTGCAGACCTCTGTTCCTTCTTCGTGAAGCTTCTTTTCTTCATACATGCAGCACCCAATGCACCAACTGAAAGCATTCCCCTCCCCCCTCATTTTTTATTTTTCTATCAACGAGGGCAAAATAGACTTTTCACAATTACAATGTTTTGCTTTATAGGCCATGGGGACTTGGGAAGAATTTCATAATTTCAAGGGATTTTGGATGAATAAATTCTAGTCCTCGGGACCTCTATGTAATTTTCCCAAATAAAAACTTTGCTCCCACTGATTGGATATATCAAAACAAAGAACAAGGATTAATACACGTGTGCATCATGTTACTTGATATGTGAATAAACCCATGGGTGATTCTTTTTGCTCTTCTTTTTTTTAATTAAATTTAACGGTTTATCATGGATTGCATTGAAAATAAAACGAAAGAAAATTACACATAAGCTTTTATACAAGAAAAATAAATATAAATAGGTCTCTTAAATTTCATTTAATAATAATAACTAAGTCATGACAAATTAATATTTACAAATTACAAGCCAAATTTAACAATTTAATATGGGTAACTTTCCCAAAATAAAAACATAAAATTAATAAATATTGATTTATCTCAACCACAATAGAGGGACTAGCAGATGGGGAAAGCAGTGAATGTGATAAAGTCCTCACTTCATCTTGCAGATAGATGTCTTTGCCTCTGCTTCCTGCTCACTCTCATTTCCTTCACATTTCTCTGCCTTGTTGCTGCTTTGTGTTTCCTCTGAGAATTTGTCCTTTGCCTCTATTGCTTGTGATTCTTGTTTCATTCCTTCATCCATTTCATTTGACCCCTTCACTTCACAATCTAATGTTTCTCCCTTCACATTATTTGCTTTCACATCTTCACTCTGATATTATATAAACGCTAGAGATGATAAAATATTGAGAAAAATAATGTTCACATATATGACATATAATATCATGAATAATGATTTTGGTTATATATAGTTCTTTATATCTTTGTTATTAAACTCTTCATTCAACTTCAAATCATCATGGGGGTTTGGAAGAGTTTTGTGTCCATCATAATAATCTTTATTGAACAAATTATCATCAATACTTTTTCGCCCAAAACAGTTTTATAAAATAATTTTTTTAACACAAGTTTATGAAACACAAAACAAAAGCATATGTTTGGATAATTGTTGTGAAAACTTACATTTGAAAATAAATATATTGATATTAGAGGATGAAGCTTCAATGAGAATTCAAGTAGTCAAATGGAGAAAAAGATATCGAATAGAGAATAAAGGTTTCTAATTTTTCCAAAATAAAAAATAAAAAAATGCAAAAACAAAAAAAAATAAAGATTCTTTTTGGTTTTTTAGTTTTTTAAAAAAATTCTTTTTTTTAAAACACTTACTAAAACAAATTATCAAATAATTTTTTTTTTCGTTTTTAAAACAAAAATCTGTTGAGAACAACAAGGCTTATGAAACTTCAATATATATTACCAAATACATGGGTTTTAAGTTGTTTTCTTTTTTGAATCAGGGTTCTATGTATTTGGAGTGCTCCCCACACTTTTTTATACTTACCTAAAAAAAAATAAAAAATAAGAACTTTTTTATACCAAATTAAAAAATGCAAAAACAAAAAAAATTGTTTTTGTTCTTTTAGTTTTTAAAAACAAATTTCTGTTTTTCTTTAAAACTTATTAAAAACAAATTACCAAATAATTTTTTCTTTTAAAAAAAAAATCTGTTGAGAACAACCAGGCCTATGAAACCAATACATATTACCGAGTACATGCTTTTTTTTTGGGAAAATCACTAACAGGTCCCACATAAGGCAATTTATTACTCTGAGGTCCCACGAAATGTCAAAATCACTGACAGGTCCCAAGGGACCTCAGAGTAATATTTTCGTTTTGTAAAATGACATTACTGCCCCTCATATTCCAGATTCACATTTGCTCTGTCATTACGATTTACAACCTCAACAGCGACTATTAACAACCTAATGAGAGGGCGTTAACAACCCTAGCAGTATCCGTTAACAACTTACTTTATAGAATTATATAACCTCTACATAAGAGTAAATTATAATCAAATAATATAATACAACAACTTTAACACTAAAATGGGAAGCTTTTTGATATCATTAAGAATTTTAACTAGATCCAATAGGATTATAGTAATATTTTAATGCAAAGATCCATTTACAACCTCAACAGTGATTATTAATAACCGAATGAGAAGTCATTAACAACCTAAGCAGTATCAGTTAACAACTTACTTTATAGAATATATAACCTCCGCATAAGAGTAAATTATAACCAAATAGTATAATACAACAACTTTAATACTAAAATGGGAAGCTTTTTGATATCATTAAGAATTTTAACTAAACCCAATAGGATTATAGCAACATTTTAATGCGAAGATCTATTTACAACCTCAATGGTGAGTATTAATAATCCAAAGAGAGCTGTTGACAATCTAGGCAGTATCTATTAACAATTGACTTTATAGGATAATATAACCTCTAACAACTATATAAGATTAACTTTAAGACTATTTAGTTATAGTTTAGTTAGTTATAGTTAGAAGTTATATTATCCGATAAAGTTAGTTGTTAACAGGCACTGCTAAGGTTGTTAACAATTCTCCTTAGGTTATTAATACTTACTGTTGAGGTTGTAAATGGATTTTCGCATTAAAATGTTGCTATAATCCTATTGGGTTTGGTTAAAATTCTTAATGATATCAAAAAGCTTCCCATTTTAGTGTTAAAGTTGTTGTATTATACTATTTGGTTATAATTTACTCTTACGCAGAGGTTATATAATTCTATAAAGTAAGTTGTTAACGGATACTGCTTAGGTTGTTAATGCCTTCTCATTCGGTTGTTAATAGTTGCTCTTGAGATTGTAAATGGATCTTCGCATTAAAATATTACTATAATCCTATTGGATTTAGTTAAAATTCTTAATGATATCAAAAAGCTTCCCATTTTAGTGTTAAAATTGTTGTATTATACTATTTGGTTATAATTTACTCTTATGCAGAGGTTATATAATTCTATAAAGTAAGTTGTTAACGGCTACTGCTTAGGTTGTTAATGCCCTCTCATTCGGTTGTGAATAATCGCTGTTGAGATTGTAAATGGATCTTTGCATTAAAATATTACTATAATCCTATTAGATCTAGTTAAAATTCTTAATGATATCAAAAAGCTTTCCATTTTAGTGTTAAAGTTGTTGTATTATATTATTTGGTTATAATTTACTCTTATGTAGAGGTTATATAATTCTATAAAGTAAGTTGTTAACGGATACTGCTAGGGTTGTTAACGCCCTCTCATTAGGTTGTTAATAGTCGCTGCTGAGGTTGTAAATCGTAATGACAGAGTAAATGTGAATCTGGAATATGAGGGGCAGTAATGTCATTTTACAAAACGAAAATATTACTCTGAGGTCCCTTGGGACCTGTCAGTGATTTTGACATTTCGTGGGACCTCAGAGTAATAAATTGCCTTCTGTGGGACCTGTTAGTGATTTTTCCTTTTTTTTTCCCGGCATAGGGCCTGGTCGTTCTCAACAGATTTTTTTAGTATATATTGGTTTCATATTACCGAGTACATGCTTACGAAGAGTTCAACATAAGTAGTATTTATAATGGGTTTTAAGTTTTTTTCTTTTTTGAATCAGGGTTCTATGTATCTGGAGTGCTTTCCACACTCCTTTATACTTAACTCAAAAAAGAAATAAAAATAAGAATCTTTTTTTAATAATAATTATAAAAGTATTAATAAACGTTATAGTTTTCATTATAATACATCAAACACTTCGTAAGACATTACATATATGCGTGTGTGTAATGTATGTATGCATGCATACGCATCTATACATACATGCAATCTCATTATGTATTTTTTAAATTTAATTTTATAAAGTATAAGTTTTAATTTATCAATCATGTAGCCCTGGGGACACAACAGTCCTTTTAATGAAGACCACAGATGAAGAGACGCATGCATTAGCAGTAGTGTGGTACGTGAACCCAATGGGATCCCAACAAATGGGGTCCTGCAAAGGCTATGCACATTATAAATTTTAGTTATAAATATTTAAAAAATTAGTTTAGTTATTATAATAAAGAAGTGTTGTTTTTTTAAATATTCTTGTTAATTATATGTATTAGAATAAAAATTATTTAATATGATTCATTACCATAAGGATTACTTTGAGAGAAAATAAATAAATAAGTGAAACAAAATGATGAGAGAAATAATAAATAAGTGAAACAAATGAATTAGAGTATACATTCAGAATTAAATTAAATTTTCAAACAGTTCTTATATTTAAGGTAGGCAATATTATGTAATTAATTTTGATTTTTCAAAAAAACAAAAAGTAATTAAAAAAATAGGTAGTTTGGATTTGATGTGATGTTTGGAATCTTCGAAACAAATAGAAGCTATTAGCTAACCAGGCAATATATCAAAAACTGGCTGAGAAGAGCTAACCAAATGATATATCCTTGTGGTAGGGCACTTCCTCATCGGAAATACAATAAGGAATCATCTTTTCTATTCTTTTTCCGATCCCATTACTAAGAAAGGTATTTACTTTTTTGAAATACTATATTCGATCCTAATTATAAGAGCTAGTTGACTAATTTGAGGAAATTAAAAAGAGAAGTTAAGTTAGTTATTTGTAATAAATAGGTGTTGTCTTTCTTAAAATATTCTTATTAATCAAGTATATTGGCTATAACTACTATTGTTAGAAGAATTAATTTGGAAAAAAAAACATAAATATGAGAGACAAAATGGATTAGGGTCTTATATTTAAGACCAAAATAAAAGTCAAATAAAATCTTATATTAAAGACCGAAAGTAGTATTCAATATACATTGGCAATAATAGGGGAAAGGGGGCAGATTTATCCCGAATCAAGTGTATTGACTATAACAAACAAAATCATGCAAAAAGAGAAAAAAAAAAAGGGATATAAAATAACTATAGTAGACGCAGCAGTTATAATAATGCATGATAAAATTAAAAAAATTCCTTCCTGCAGTGATCTCAAGTAGAGCTGAGCCATATATCTCAACGTTATCAAGTGTGGAATCCACCAAAAGATTGTGACTGACGCCAAGTATGTATGTTTGGTTTCAAATTGAAAACTACCAAAACAAACAATAAAAAGGCAAATTTACAACTTGCCAGCGATAAAGATACTCTCCACCAAAACTATATACTAGCTCTGGTAGTTAGTTGTTAGACTTTTATTTTAGTACTTAATATAAGATTTTAATATTTATGTTTTTTTTTAAGATAATCCTTCTAATAATAGTAATTTTAACCAATACACTTGATTAGTAAAAATATTTTAAGAAAGATAATATCTGTTTATTACAAATAACTAATATAACTTATTTTCTTAATCTATTTAAATCAATCAATTAGTTCTTGTATTTAGGATATATTTGAACCAAATCTAACAGATCTCCAAGAGAATCATGCCATGAAAAAGCAAAAAAGATAAATAAAAAACAAAAGCCATGTCTTTTAGCTTATTAAGATTCTGGAAAACTGAAGACAGAAAAAAAAAAAAATAGCAAAGAAATAAGAGGCAGCGGGTACCTGATGGAAGAGGTAGCTAAGAGAAGGGCGTTTGTTGGATTGGTGGTCGAGATCCACGTCCAGGATCTCATGGAGTGAAAGTTGAGGACGACGAGCTTCAACTTGAGGTTGAGACTGACCAGACTCAGAGATGGCCTCATTATTATGACCAACAACGGCTTCTCCTGGTGCTGTGTTGTGCTCGTGCTGCCCAGTTTCTTTCGGAACTCGGGATTTGCTCCCACAACCTCCCATGTCTTCCACTTACGTATCACCGCGAGCTCACAATCACACCAACTCGTTGCCTTTTCTTCTCTTTAATTAGTTCTTAAAGATATAGCAAGAGCATGGTAGTTTTTAGTGTTATTGATGGAGGACTGAGCATATGAGCTCAAATATCGATCAGGATTGATAGAAAAGCAGTGGAGCCCTCGGTGGTAGGAATGGATATTTGATCCGACTACTACACACCACCTAATTCTTGGTGGAACCCCTCCATTTCTTCTCCACCTTTCTCTTCTTTACGTACCCCCACGATCCCAATCCAATTACGTTCTGGCTATTCATTTATTTTTATATTAATTGAATGATGACACAGTAGGAAAAATCGATCAATCTATATATATATATATATATTTACAAATTATATCTATATATACTATCTTCTCCTGTGCTTAATTTGAGAACTAGTTTGACATTTAATTTAGTCTTAAATATAAGACCCTAATCTATTTTGTCTATTACATTTATCTATTTTTTCTCAAAGTAATCTTTGTAATAGTTGCATATGTTAAATGTTTCATCAAATGGTAGTTTTAACTAATAAACATGATTAACAAGGGTATTTTAAGAAAGATAATACATATTTATTATAAATATAATTATAATTAACTAACTTATCTTTTTTTTTAATCTATTCAAATTAGTTAACTAATTCTTATATTAAGGATCAGAGATAGTGTATAATATATTATCTCTTGTCCTAATTATAAGAGTTTGTTTATAGTCTATAAACAAGATTAATTAGGAGTGAAGGTACTACAATTTTAGGAAATCACAATGTAAAGACTCCTTTGGTCTGATACCATTAAAAAAGGGTTGCATATAATCCTGTTACAAAGAGCTAGTATAAATACCAATAAGTTGTTTGTTGACATGGTAAATAAGAAGTCTCATCTTCATAAAAAGATAATACAAGTTCGAATCCTGAAAAACGTACTTATTGGGACAGGAAAAAATCTTTTGGAGTACTTTAAATCTCTTTTGAGCTGACTTTGGCACTTTAAGGGAGTGTTTGTTGCATATGTTAAATGTTTCATCAAATGGTAGTTTTAACTAATAAACATGATTAACAAAGGTATTTTAAGAAGATAATACATATTTATTATAAATATAATTATATTAACTAACTTATCTTTTTTTTTAATCTATTCAAATTAGTTAACTAATTCTTATATTAAGGATCAGAGATAGTGTATAATATATTATCTCTTGTTCTAATTATAAGAGTTTGTTTATAGTCTATAAACAAGATTAATTAGGAGTGAAGGTACTACAATTTTAGGAAATCACAATGTAAAGACTCTTTGGTCTGATACCATTAAAAAAGGGTTGCATATAATCCTGTTACAAAGAGCTAGTATAAATACCAATAAGTTGTTGTTGACATGGTAAATAAGAAGTCTCATCTTCATAAAGAAGATAATACAAGTTCGAATCCTGAAAAACGTACTTATTGGGACAGGAAAAAATCTTTTGGAGTACTTTAAATCTCTTTGAGCTGACTTTGGCACTTTAAATCTGGAAAGAGAGGAGTCTTCATCAAATGAATAAAACAAAATGTGCTGGGCAGATGTTTGACCAAGCTGCACGCACGAGGATTATACTTTGCAATGCTTGTTACTTTAAGTAGTTGCTGTAGAATTACGCTGCATGACATATGAATGAGGAAATCTGAGAAACGATATTATCTGTCCCTACTTGAAATTAGGCTATAGTTTGAATATTATTTTAATATATACATATATAATATATTGGTGAAGTGAAGAGTGAAAAAATAGTTTGGTTTGTTGGTATTATTGTCACTAATGAAAATACAATGTTCTCGACCTATTCTTTAATTTTATAGAATAAAAAGTAACAAACCATTTAAAAATATGTTCGGACTTTTTTTGCTTTTTATAAAAAAATTAATTTTTATGGGAGAATATAAAAATAAACTTTGAAGTTACTAAATTTCAATCGAACTTGTAAATAATAATAATTTTTGTAGAAATTTTTTATTTAAAATCTAGTTATTTCAATTTTTGTGAGATTCTTCACTTTTCTATTGTTCAAAACACAAAACTGAAAAATAAAATTTAAATGTATTTTTTGAATAAAACTTCTATTTTCAAAACAAGAAACCAATCATTGCTAAATTTTTATAATTTTTCTTCTACACACTATTCCCTTATTGAAGACAATTTTATTCAGGCACTGTTAATCACGAAAAGTAAACATTTCTTTTAATAAAAATCCAAACTTTCGTTTGTCATGCCGTTGTGAACTCACCTCGTTGGAAAATGAATCTATTCTAGCAGGCTAGATGACGGGTCAGGCCCATGTTGGAGAATCTACGGTGGCGGCAACTCCCCACCCCCATGTGGCTTTTGCTTTGGTGAACGGAGCGTGCGGAGACGCCCTCGGGGTCGCTTCACCTCAAAGTCTCGCATCCATTTCCTCCGCTCGTAAACGCCTTTTAATTCATACATCGCAGCTCATTCTGCGTCAAACTCTCTAAAGTCAAGCCTTTCTTCGATCTTGACGATTCGATATGCAAATATCCCGATGGCGAAACGTGATATCGCTCAAGACTTACCTGATTCCTTTACCGAATCTAGCACCAACCCATTCTTCCTCGGCCTTTCATTCCACTTCGTTTCAGAGAAGGAAGAATAAATCCAACTCTGTGAGTTTTTATCTCCCTCATTGCTTAAGCTGTTATTTTTCTGGTTTGCTTGACTTCAGATTCTCAATTTTTGCTTTTCATCTCAAAATGGGACCAAAAGAATAGACCACTTGAAAAACGGGCGCGCCTCTATCCAATATGAACTAAAATTATTGCATTGCGTGTTCAAATTGTTCTTAGGGTGGGGTTTCTCTGCTCAAGTTTTGGCTCAAGCTGCTTCTAAGCAATTTTAATGCAGAAATAGAGAGCCGCAGAAGATGTTGCTTTGGATTTTGAAAATGTAATTTGCATAGTACAGAGACTTGAAAAATAAAAGTAAAAATTTGCGGCTACGAATTGGTTAGTTGTTTGTTTGTTGCTCATTTCTTCCTTGAAGTGCTGCTACATAACCATTGTCCATTGGCCCTGTAACTTTTCCCCTTCTTCCAAGCTCTGTTTGGTAGCTGTTAGAAAGCATGATAAACACCATACTTTTGCAGAATGTAAGAAGAAATCAACAGCCATCCAATGTGCAACTTCAGCATATGGCTTTAAGGCATTTCTTGAATGTTAAGTTTGTTACAAGTAATGTATGAGACATCCTGCTGTTGTTACATCCACTTAGTTATTGAAGATTAGTGTTTGTTTCTGGCGTTTGAATGCTATGAATTCCATGGAATTCAAAACATATTTATTACGGGAATTATATTTTGGCTGCTTAGATCATAACTCTTAAACCAAAAATTTTTCTGATGCCAAAATTGCCAAAAAAAATTTCTGATGACAAAATTTTGACTTCAGAATCATATCAGATTTGTAGTGCGTGAAAAGCGCTCGGATGCAAAGAAAGCTCTGAAGGATCTCCTTTACAATAGTGGGTCCTCCCAATTTTCATCTCAGGTATGCTGTTTAAGATTTTAATTATGTTGAGAATTCTTGTTATTCCATGTTCCGGAGTACCTTTTTATATTGATTGATTGCTGCAAATCTGCAATTGCATGATTATTCATCTGCACTGCCCTTGGCTGCTCAATTCTCTTGGTGAGGCTGTGAGAGTCTGGATTAAGTTTGTGGGTTAAAGACAAGGACTGCAAGTCCAGAAAGGAGCTGCTTTTGCAGAAAACAATTTTCACAACCGAGTTGCATCTTTGATCCTCAAATGGTTAACACTTCCCATATATAGTGACTTTAAGGTTTGGTTAGAGGAGAAAAGAAGCAAGAGGGAAACCAATGTAGGCATTGGTTGAATTTTGCTTCAGTTCATTGTGACTCAAAGAATAGATTGTAATACCAAACTTTGTAGTCAGTTTTGATTGCTTAGTAAACTGACTACTAGCTAAGTAAAGCTAATCAATCAGATTTTAACTATTGTTAAAAGTGTAAGAGCTTCCTTCCTGACGGGCTATGCGCAGTGGGTGTCTGCACTGTCAATCATAGAGATGCTAGAGAGCATGGTTTTATTTTATGTTCTAACAGACACCATTGAATAGCGCATTTGCTTGGAGTTTAATAACTTACACATTTCTGTATACCACGAATGCTACCTATCAACAAATTATCATGTTCACACGCTTTTGTTTTGCACTTTTTACCCAGGAGAGAGAAACATGGAAACTTGAAGGAGATTGCGATCAGTGTGGAGATCAAGATAATCCAGGTGACCGTGATAATAAAGGTCGACCAAAGTCTCGTCGGTGGCATGGAAAATCAAAAAGGAACCCAAAACCAAAAGGTGAGTTCTTTTGTGTTCATCTATATTTTCCCCCACTCATTTGTCTGACAAGCTCTGTGTATAAGTTGAGAACTAGATAACAAAAGCATTTTTTTGTATATCATACTTGTTAGATCTGAGGAACAACACATCCAATGATGTGTATAGTTTTAGAGCATGGTAGTCATTATAGTTAAGCGTCAAATTTAAAATAATTTGAGCTTGATTCAAGAAGTTAAAATCATTTTTTTTAAAGTTGAAATTGATGTGCATTTTACTTGCCTGGCCATTGATGAGCGTTTGGTTGTCCCAATTCAGGGAAAATCAGAAGAGAGAGTTTCTGTGAGGACTTTGATGATCCTGAGACAATCTTCTGCTCAAGATTTGGTTTTAAATCGTCAACGTGGTCCTTCTGCGATTGGCGGGGGTCTTCATTTGAGAACTCAACATCTGGATTCGATCACAGGAGGGAGAGGGAGCACTCAAGCTGGGCAAATAGAAGGAAAACTAGAAAGTGGACCAATGAAAGTGATGCTGAGTCTGCAAGTGATGACGAGTCTAATGATGACATTGATTCCTTTCGTGTAGGTTTGCTTTCCGATAGAACTATCCTTGGTCTGCCTCCCACAGGTCCTTTAAAGATTGAAGATGTTAAAAACGCGTAAGTGGTCCTTGGCATCATTTATACCGAACTCAACACTAAAGGGCAAGATCTTGCCACACACGCATTACATAAAAGTTATAAATTACTGATATCTTTCTTTTCAATTGTAGTTTCCGGTTATCAGCTTTGAAATGGCATCCTGATAAGCATCAAGGCCCCTCCCAGGTGAGGTTGACATATTTATGTTTAGCCTTTCAACATCTTTAATACATGAGTTGGAAATAGAGGTGCAAACCATACCGAACTGTAATTGTTAGATGGACCCTCCTGATGAATATGTTCGTACACAATACCCGATGCTAAATTCTTTAGAATCGGCATTAGAAACCAATCAAACCACCTATAATGTTTAAGGAAAGAAAAAAAAAAATTGCAACAATATGATGATGTGTTTAATAATATGTGGAATCTGGTCTCATCAAAGGGCTTCTTTTTAATTACTTGGTTGCAGGTGATGGCTGAAGAAAAATTTAAACAGTGCGTGAATGCGTACAAGTCATTATGCAGTGCAATCTCGACGGCGTAGCTGCTTTGGTCTCATTGCAGGAGAAACAGCTTCAGCCGGTAGCTAACTCTATCGCTGACCAGACTTGTGCTAATATGCTATCATATTTATTTTTCAGAAAAGAAAAGGAGGAAAAAAAAGATCGGAAAATTAAACAGTTGTAAGTATTTATTGATTGGGCATCCAATTGTCAAATTCAGTGTACATTTTTATTTTTCATGCAAAGATTTCCTGTATTCCCGGCATTTGTGCGGGGTCCAAGGGACATGTCAACTCACAAGATAATGATTAAAAAAATGGATTTTTTAATGTATAAAATTGAAATAATAATTTTTAATACGGAAAATATTTTTCCTGTTTTCAAAAATAAAAAAAGGCGATATTTGGAATTTGAAAAAAACAATTAAATAATTTAATTTAATAATAGAGAATGACAGCCGAAGAGCATGCTTCTAAAAGAAGAGGAAGAGGACTGGAGGAGCATGCCTGCTCAGATTGCACACTGGAGTGAGTGTTTGAAATTATTGTTTAAATAAACAAATAAATATGGCTAGTTACTGATTGAATTCCGAACCTCTCTGCCTCGTGTGGCTAGTTCCTCAGCTCTAATTATTAATTACTACTTATTTATTACAAATAATAAATTAATAAATTTTTTTAAAAATAATATCTCTTATTATAAATAATTAATTTAATAAATATTATTAAATCTATTCAACTTATTTAACTGGCTACTAATTATCATGGTAAAGGTATCGTAAATGTTACTGTATTTCTGCTTTCTGTTACAAGAAAAAGTTCACTTGTTTCCTGATACTTGATGGTCGCAAGCAAAAAGGCACCCAACCAAATGGAAAGGTGTTCATTTGATTACGAGTCAAAAGAGAAGAAGGAAAGCTGAAAAGTGAAAAGGTATGGTGAGGAAGACTGGGAGGGATAGAAAAAGAGCATGTTTTCGCTGAAAATAATAACTGTTTCCCCCTCACTTACACACAAATTCACAATCTTAAACTAATGGCTAGATCTAATGTTTCCGGATTGGAAATGAAATAGAGTGAATACATATTTTAATTCAGTTCAGATATATGGATCTTGGGATCTACCACAGAAGAAGTAAGATCTAAAAACAGAGAAGGACAACAGAAGCAGATACCATAAAGCCGTAGATCAAGATCAAGAAGCCAAAATGGAGAGCCCAATTCCTCTTGAACTTGCCGAAATAGCTCTCTGGTGGTTCCTGGTAGTGAATCTCGAACTCCTCGTCCCCTACTCCGTCGAATTCATTCCCGCTCTGCAGCTTCATCTTCATCTCCCTCAGCTTCTCCGTGGCTAAGCCCAGGGTGAGCTTGTGGCATCGGCGCTGGTACTTGAAGGCGTTGATGCAGCGGAGGGTCTGGGCAACGGAGACGTAGAAGATGAGGTGGGCGAGGGAGAGGAGTGAGATAGGGATCCAGCAATGGCGGCACTGGAGGCGAGAGGAACTGGAGAGAGTCAGGAAGACGAGGCTGAGGAAGATGAAGAAAATCTGGAAGAGCTTGTGAAGCTCCTTCTTCTGGAGATCAATGGCGCGCTTCTTCTCTAGAGTCTTCTCGAAGTGAAGCTGGATGATGGTGTTCAAGGCTTGCAATGCCGTCTCCTTCTGGTGGTGGTGGCCTTCGTAGTCCGCCATGGATAAAGAGCCAAAGGAGCCGCAAGAAGAACGTTGGGGATTTTCTGATATAGAGCTATAAATATAATTTTAAAATTTTTTAAAAAACAGCAGTGGGAGAGTAGGACAAAGTAATGCAGTAAAAAGCAGTGAATCAGAAACGGTGAAAGATTTGAATGAGGATTGAATGGTTGGTTTAGATTTTAAAGCGAGTGAAAGGGAGAGACTGGGAGGGGAGATACTCGGATCTCAATGCGTTTATCTGAGTGTGAGGAAATCCGACGGACGAAGAAAGGGCGTTTTAAAAGCTTGTTGGTGCGGGAGAAGATGATTGAAGGCGAATAAAGAACTTATAAGCTATCACCATTAAAATTATTTATAAACACGTTTTACATTATCTGAGATAAAATTTTCTTAATATATTTATCTCGTATTTTATAAACCATGATTAAAAGTTATTTATAAACTATTTCAAATGAGTCCGAAAACTGGTTAGAATTTGTTTGGAAGATTTGTTTGGAGCTCTTGGCACTTAGTAAGTAGGAATGAAGATGGTTTAGGATTTGTTTAGAATATTAGCACTTAAGGTTAATACACTGTGAGTATGAAAAACTTTACTTCTAAATAAAAACTCAAGAAATATAATTTTGATTCCTCCAAATGCCAAGGGAAAAAATTTACCCCTCCCAACCTGATTTTGATTCTACCAGTAAGAGGCAAAATGAAGTATGTTAGTTATTTTCTTTAATTGCAGAAAATGTATTTTTGCATTGAAAATATGATTCTACCAGTAAGAGGCAAAATGAAGTATGTTAGTTATTTTCTAATTCAGTTAAAATGTATTTTTGCATTGAAAAAAATATAATTTTGATTCCTCCAAATGCCAAGGAAAAAATTTACCCCTCCCAACCTGAATTTGATTCTACCAGTAAGAGGCAAAATGAAGTATGTTAGTTATTTTCTAATTCAGTTAAAATGTATTTTTGCATTGAAAATATTTTGAGCGAAATTGCAGGCACTTTAGAAAGAATTATGAAACAATGCATTGTATGGTCTTGGAAGAATTGTTAAAAAATTCTCTCATTCTAAAACTTATTATGCTATGAGATATTTAAAGGACCCAAAACCGCACCTTTTTTTAATTATGTGCAATACAATATATTCAAGTATATGTAAATGTCTTTGATTTGGCACATATTTAAAGATAAGTTATATACAGTTGAAGGAGATCTACATCTACTTGAAGTAAGTTACACATGGGTTCTTAATCAAATTTTGTTAGTGTCAAATTTTGCAATTAGGAATTTTTTTTCAGCAATTTTTCTTGTAATCTTTTAAAATCGGTGCGATATTGCTTTTCTTTAATTGTTACCTTTAACTAATTATGTGCTAGATTTAAATGATTGTATATCACATTGTTCTACAATTTTTTGTGTAGGTGCAGCCTTCACAAAATTACACGTGAACTCTTTCTAATTTCAAAGAAAGGGATTTTTTTTCTCGGGTCAAAAATAAAATAAAAAGGATTCTTAAAAAAATATATTTTACCAAATGTTATCAGCACTCCCTTCTGTCTTATAAGAAACTTAATTTTAATTTAATTTGATATTATATGTAAGAAATAATAAGTAATGTTTGATATATTAATTGCAATATTCCAATCATACCCCACTAAATATTACTCCTCCAGTCATTAATATAGGACCCAATTCTTGAGTTGGTTTTGGTCCTAAATATAAGACTCATTTCTCATATTTATCAATTTTCTCTAAATTACCCCTATAGATACTCTTTCACCCATAATCAAGTAGAAGAGGGAGAGGGAGTACTAAGAAAGATGATTATGGTATTTTAGGAAAAATGTGTCACTTTTCTTATAATTAACTAACTTACCTAACTTCCTTAATCTAATCAAATTAGTTAAATGAGTCTTATATTAAGGACCGGAGGAGTATTACTCTATAATTTTATTTCTATCATTTTATTAAAATCCTCTATCTTGACCAATGTGGGACCTTTATTTGGGTAGAACATGAATGGAGCACGATTAATAAACAAGACGGCTTACAATTACATTGTTACATGCACAAACAATATGGAAAATAGACTTTTAGGTGTATAAAACAAAGAGGACACCGAAAATCTCCAATCTCTTGAATGGTCCTAAATATAAGACTCATTTCTCATATTTATCAATTTTCTCTAAATTACCCCTATAGATACTCTTTCACCCATAATCAAGTAGAAGAGGGAGAGGGAGTACTAAGAAAGATGATTATGGTATTTTAGAAAAAATGTGTCACTTTTCTTATAATTAACTAACTTACCTAACTTCCTTAATCTAATCAAATTAGTTAAATGAGTCTTATATTAAGGACCGGAGGAGTATTACTCTATAATTTATTTCTATCATTTTATTAAAATCCTCTATCTTGACCAATGTGGGACCTTTATTTGGTAGAACATGAATGGAGCACGATTAATAAACAAGACGGCTTACAATTACATTGTTACATGCACAAACAATATGGAAAATAGACTTTTAGGTGTATAAACAAAGAGGACACCGAAAATCTCCAATCTCTTGAAAAGAAAAGAAAGAGTATAAAAAGTTTAACCCTTTTGATCCAATTTTGGACAAAGAGAATGAAGCTTATCGCGCCTTCATCTGCTGCCATGATTTTAACTTTTAAGCATCCGACTAATTGGCGCAACGATCAACGACGGTGGGTGGCCCATCTCAGAGATTCCACAAATTTAATAATAACAGAAGATTCGCACATGAATTCATCTGGCTTAAATTGATGAAGTTCCAGATGCCAATAATAAAAATAATGTGAGTGCACCTTCCAAGTTTCAAATCATCAAATTGACACTTCAATATTACAACCACCACCTTTAACCTGTTCCCATCAACACACATATCATGGGGTTGCAATATTCAAGGATTTAAATAGTACTACATTAATCAACACACCCTGTGACTTTTATTTCACCCCCACACAACTCTTTCTAGATCGGCACGCGTGCTCCAAAATTTAAATAACTTAAGCTATAGATAAACACTCCTTCTACTTACAATTTTTTGTTAAATAAAAATCTAAACTATGATTAATTCTTCACTAAAATTTTGAAGCAGTAGTACTACTTTTTTTTGGGGCGGGTTTGATGATGAAATGATGAGCTGAGAGCAGAGAGCGCATAGCGAATAAAATCTGATGAAGATATTCATTGACGTACCAAACAAAAACACTGCCATGAGATGGGTGGAATCAGATTTAGAACAAGTTCACAAAAATAGGGTCTCTTCTTGCTCTTCAACCCATGATGGCCACTTCATGATTATTGGGTATCACCATTTCATTATTCTGATCCTCCATCGCTGTCAGCATCCTCTGATGATGACTGGGACTGACCCTCCATAAGATGCATTAGTGGCTTCTCAGGCTTCAGTTGATCCTTATGAGAACTGGCTGAATCCTCCTTATGAGAACTGGCTGAATCCTCCAACTTCTCATTAGGCCTTTCACTATTATACAGAGCATCCAACTGATGAAAATAAGGACATGTTTTAGACTCTGACTCTGAGGCTTTTTCTGGTTTTTTCTTCATCCTCTTGAAGTATTTGTTCATATTCTCCCATTTCTCCTTGCATCTCCTGGCACTCCGATCGTACCCAAGTTTCTTCATTGCACAAGATATCTCCTCCCATATAGGATTAGACCCTTTAAGCCCATTTCCTTCATTCTCCACATCCAAGTTTGTCCTCAATCTAATGAAAGCTTCCACTTCATCTTTGGGCCATCTAGAGGAAGATGGACTCGTCAGTGTGAAATTCCCACCATTTCTACATTCTTGCTTTTCAAGAACACTACTGCCTGCATTATCATTTTCTTGCTCGTCCTTATCTAAATCGTTAGGAAGTAGATTCTCAGGTAATTCTATGGTCCCCGTTTGTCCTGTGAACTTACTCAGAAGGGCAAGCACTGCTGCATCTTTTGCCGCAGCAATTGATCTTTCCTGAGCTAAAAGCTCTCGTTCCCTCTTAATCCTAGCTAATTCCTGCATCTTCCATGCTTCCTCTCTTGCCATTCTCTCTTGTTCGCATTTGACTAAAACCTCCATAAAGTTCTTCTGTAGCTCCACTTGCCTCTCTAGTACTTTGTTCATCAACCCCCAAAACACTTCGTCAGTTTCCTTTTCTTCTTTCGAATGTCTTCCTCTGATTCTTCGCTCGAAGAGGGAGTAGTTGAACTAGAGGGGGCACTAGAGAACCGAATGGAAAATGGGAATGAATCTTGAATAACATTGGACAAATCCATTGGGGTAGTGTTGTGGCTATATGTTTTCCGCCTGTTCTTCATTCTTTTCGGGGGGTAAGGATGTTGAATAGCACCATGAATAACATCGGACAAATCCATTGGGGTTGTGGTGTGTTGTTGCTGTATTTCTCGCTTGTTCTTCATCCTTTTCAGGGTAAGGAGAGTTCATAAGAGGCTCTAAAAGCTCAAAGAATCGGTAAGTCTTGCCGTTGGTCGGCCATAACGACCTTCCTTGGTCCTTCTGTAGTACTTGTACACGTTTTCAAACTTCTCCTGGCACTTCTTAGCACTCCTATTATATCCTAGCCCCCGTAATCTCCTGAACAGTTCCAAAAACCAATCATTACAGTTAACTAAAAATTTTCAACCACTTGTACCAAAAAAAAAAAAAAAGTCTCAACCGTTGCAAAAATAAACCAGGTTAAAAGAATAACAGTGTAACAGTCAGCGCAAAAAAAATCGTGGAATTCGATGAGGAGTGGACAGAAAAAAGACTATACTTTATAGTGCGGAACGGAAAACGGAAGAGACAAGTAAGAGACAAGTAAGGACGTAGATTCGAGACGAAAATTGCACTTACAATTCACATTCACAAATTAACACTTGAAGCGCGTAAAACCATAATCTTTTAGAGGCTGAAATTTTGCAGCTCTCTGGGGACTTTTATCGAACAGGAAGCGATGTATGGGAACTACTGACCTGGAAACTTGTTGCCAAAGATGAACTTTGGGTAAGGTATCCCTGAAATCAGCGTCCATGTCAGACCTTATCTGGAGCAAAGCTTTAGTCTCTTCTGGAGGCCACCGGCCACCGGTGACATTCCGGTCAACGTCTTCGTCTTGGTGTCCATCAGAGACAGGCTTACCACCATCCTCCTCTGCGTGCCTCCGCTGTTGAATGGAGTTTTCGGGTAAACTCGAAGTCGAGTTCTCTAACATCCGTTTAACTAGATTACAGCCGCGACGAGTGCTGTAGTAAAGGACGGGTGAATCGGCGGCGGAGGGGAAAAGGGGAAAAGACTGACTTGACGGTTTTGAGGTGACGAGATCTTACGTTGTACCTCGGCTTCATAAAATTTTTATTTTTATTAAAAAAAATATATACTAATAAAAATTACCACCATTAAATAATATGTGTAAATTATTCTTTTCGATCTCACTTATCAAATTGGTCATCATATTATTTTAATTAACACTATTTTTTTACCAGCTAATTTAACTAATACTATAATTATATCATTTCAATGGAAAAATAAAAAATAAAGAAATTGAAAAAATGTGATATTTCAAATCAGGCACTTAAGAGTTGAAAATGACGTAAAAGAAAGTGGTATCTAATCTAATATTTTACAAATATTATTAAATAATTAAAATATATTTATATAAAAAAGTTTATTATAGAGTTTTGAATAGTAATGACAAAAAATATATTGATAATAATAAATTATTTATTAATAAGTTATGAATTGATAAGTGTTGAACAACCAATAACAAGAAATGTATTGGTAATAATAAGTTTAATAGTTTTTTAAAAATCTAATACAATGATATTTTTTCATTTAACTACATTTACAAAATACCAAATTAGATATCATTTTCTTCTTTGTCATTTTCAACTCATGGGTACTTGAATTGGGAAATAATAATTTCAAGATTCATGTTCTAGAATTTTTTCTTTCAATTTTGTTGACGAGAAAAAAATATTTCAACTTTATCCTATACTACTTCTGATCCTAAATATAAAAACTAATTGAAGATTAAATTTAATTCCAAATATAAAATATCAATATATTTTGTCTCTCAAATTTATAATTTTTTCAAAATACCCTTATTAATTATAAGATATTAAAATTTTCATTGAAAAATAGTTTTATATATATAATTACATAGCATAATTTAATTTTACAAATAAACAACTATATGAATATTTTTAATCTCTTTAAATTAATTATTTATTTCTCATATTAAACACAGGAGGTTCCAGCGACACGGGAATTCTTTGTTTACTCTGTACTTCTGTCGCTTCATGTTACCCGCAGTACTTTCTTGGATTATAGGTTTTTCTTCAGTCATTTTAATTTGTTTTCATTTTCATTTTAAGTCTTATAATTATAAGTTTTGATTCCTTAAAAGATTAGAATAGTCCAAGTTTCTATAATTTAAAATTATGGGACCAAAATTAAAATTAAAATCAAATATTATATTAACTCTTTTTTCTTTCTTTGATTTATTTCTGGAAAAAAAACCATTCGATTAAAAAAATAAAATCAACACAATTTCTTACAAACAATTAATTGAATTAATTTCATTAACCTTGGAAAATTAGATATCTAGAAGGATTAACTATTTTTTTTTTCAATAAGACTTGAAACTAAAATCTTAGTCGAAGAATATTAATATTAATATTAAATCTATTGCCACTCAATCTACCTGCCATTATAGATGCTTTTGATTGACGATGACAGCCATCTCAAATTGCCAAATCTTAAAGTCTTAACCCTTTTGCTAGTAGGAAGGAGTACTCCAAAAAGAATGCTATTGAGCACAAATACAATTTATGCAATTTATATATATATATATATATATATATATATAGAAAGGATAGACATCACAATTTTGTCACCAATCAAATTATTTATCCTGGAGCTTTTAAGTTTTTCTGTCTTCAATTGTACAATCTGTGCATAGTAAGAGAGAATTTAGCTTAATGCCACCTGAGTACATCGATCAGTAATTAAAATTAGAAGTTGGAGAAGGAAAGGAAAAATATTTGAGTTCAAGTGAGTTTGAGAGTCTAAGAGTTGTGATCTTGAAATCTCTCCAGTACAAAGATATTGCCTTTGTCATCCCTTCCTATCCTCATTGTGTCATCCACATATCTATTGGATCTATCATAGCAAGAAACAATCACAACAGAAGAACCAATCCCCATTTCAAGCAAATTTTTTTTTTTTTTAAGAAAATCAAATTGGTTCTATTTAAAACAATAAAGAAAGAGTGAAATTTCATGTAAATTATTATAGAAAGATTGTAGGAAATCATCGTGATACAGCTCATTTTGTGCTTCATGTAAATGTATAGGACTCATTTAGTGGAAACAAAGAAGGTGAAATAATAACACTCAGGCCCGAAAAATAAATTCAAAAATAAGTAGGTGTCAAAAATTCTTACTAAGAGATGAATTGTTAATATAGACTTGAAAAAAAAAAAAAAAACAGGAGACCTAAATGTCATTTTACTAATAAAGAATCTAATTAAGGCTATGTTTGGATTTAGGAAAATAGGGGTTAGAAATACTATTATTCTTACAAGCCAAAAAAACCAATTTCAGTACTCATCGTTTTGATAAGTACTCTAGACTCATCAAATCTGTACCATTTATATCTGATTTGAATGGTCTAAATTTGAAATCTTTAACTAATTATTTTAAATAGAAAAAACTATTTTTTAAAAAAATGATAGTTAAGAGATGGTCTTTATTTTGGATTTTACCCATATTAAAATAATTATTTTGAACAAATAAAAAAAAATCATGACTATCCAAATGAGATATAGATGGTTTAGATCTAATGAGTTTAAGTTGCACCGAAATTGGGGTAAATTCTTAGGAAGCATGAGAAAATAAAGGCAAAATCAACATAATGTTGCATTAGGATACGTGGTGTCCAGCCATCCCTCTGGATTGAAGATGCTCAACAAAACATCATAGTTCTTCCGAAACACATTCATTAACTGTGCATTCACAACATTCAATTCAATAACTATGACTAATTAACAGAAAACCCATTCAAGTTCAACGAACATGTTTCTTAAAATGACTTCCATACCTGGTCAGGAGTGATAGTAGAGTTTTCGTAATTAATGAGAACTCTCTGTGAATCAGATCAAAAATCGAAATGTCAGTAATATATATTATCAGCTAAGTAGTAATTTCCAAATCGCAACAATCACAAAAGGAAATAAAGTGAGGAAGATTTAACTGTTGAGGAGGCAATCTTGAAAGAGGCCTCAATACTAAGTTGTCCATTCAACAAACTCAACCCCTTTGAGCTGAACTTGATCACATTCACTGCTTTGCTCTCCATTTTTGCAATCACACATGTTCATCCTTAATTAGTCAAATAAACAAACAAACACTAAAACCAAATTCTTAGAGAGAAAACTTATGATATATATATATATATATATTCACACACACCTCAGCTACATCAATAACCTGGAAGAAATCATCCAATGAGATGAAGTCTCTGAGGCCTAACTTCGTTCTCTTGGAACCCAGAATTGTGATTGTGCTGTAAACAAGTCTCCAGCACCCAGCCATCTTCCAAATATGAAAACAATTTTAACAGAAAGCTCATAAATGAATGTGACTGATGGCACGGTTAATCAATATTGGAAATTGAATTCAATTCACCTTGTCCAAATTGTGAGTTGGATCTGGAGTTGGACTCGAAGATTCTAGCTGCTTCACTATATTATCAATCTCAGATTTCTTGGCAGAAGTGATTCCAAAAATTCCCCTGTTAATTCCTTCATATATGCATCAATCATATTTCCTCATTCTCCTCTTTTCCAGGCCATGGAAGAAAATGAGAAGCATCGTATGACCAAAAAAAACAGAGAGAGAATAATCCAAGTGAGTATGGTACCTTGCACAGCTTCATAAAGTGCAGTTTTGCAGTGGGAAAGTGCTTCATCACCTAGCAAAGCAGAGCTTCGTTCTGCAGCTTTTGTGATAGTGATGGGTCTGAATCCAAAAGAGGTCTCTGCAAATCTTGATGAAGTGTATGGTTTTGAACGAGGGCTTGATACGACATATCCTTGGAGCTTTGGGATGTTCATGGTTCTGAAAATAAGAGGGTTGAGATGGGAATCAGCCATTGATGGGGGAACTAGCTTAGCGGCCATTTTACAGAAAGCTCTGGCTCTGAAGTCTGAAGGGACTGGGAACTTGGAAACGTGATGGTAGTTTCAAAGCAGACATTTATTTTAAGTTGAAGGTTGGGGATAAAAAGACCACAAGACATGTGGCTGAGATTTTGCCCGGTCATTATTGTGGGGGTTGTGAGGGTTGAGAGAGAGAGAGAGAGAGAGAGATCCTGTTAGGCTGTTACACTTCACTATTTGATTGCCCATTTCAAAAACTGCATATTTCGACAGTAAAATGCAAGAATCTAAAATTAAATTTAAATGTAATCATTTAAGATAATACTTGTAAATTAATAATGAGCAATACTTGTCCATAATATAAGAAGTTTGTTAACTTTTATCACGTACCAATAAATGAAAATTTAGTCATTAAATTTGTCCTAAAATAGTAGAATTTTTTTTTTTATCTTTGAAAAATGATAAAATTGTCTTTAGTGTCACACTTTTATTATCTATGACGAAAGTGAAAAAATTATATTAATTATCTTAATAACATCTTATATTTTGAAATATATTTTTGTCTAACCAACCTCTGATATTATCTTATATTACAAGACAACAGGAAGTGGTGATTTTGGGCAGCTGACGGCAAGTGCGAAGAAGCTGCGACCTTGATTATGGGCATGGTCCTTCAAACGAACGTTTCAAGCGTAAAACAAAATTTAAGAATTCTCCAATAAAACAAGTAAAAGTCCACTAATGAATTGATTGTCTAGACATGTCGTGTGGAGGATAGATAGAATCCAAGAATACATCTGATTAATTATATTGCAAAAGAAGGAGCGCAAGAAAAGGTTAGCCATATCGGCCACAAAATTATGATTATATTTAACTTGATTTACTTATTAAATGATCACACACATGACTTCAATTCAACCCGAATTGTAAAGGCAAATGACAATTAGGTAATAAGGACAAGGAACATAAAACCAAACTGAATATAAACCACAGTTGAGGTAGTAGTTTAAAGAAAAATAGGCTAAACCAATTATATTAAAATAATATAATTTAATTAAAAATAATA